TACCCTGGTAGCAACCTTGTTGTACCCTGGTAGCAACCTTGTTGTACCCTGGTAGCAACCTTGTTGTACCTGGTAGCAACCTTGTTGTACCCTGGTAGCAACCTTGTTGTACCCTGGTAGCAACCTTGTTGTACCCTGGTAGCAACCTTGTTGTACCCTGGTAGCAACCTTGTTGTACCCTGGTAGCAACCTTGTTGTACCCTGGTAGCAACCTTGTTGTACCCTGGTAGCAACCTTGTGTTGTACCCTGGTAGCAACCTTGTTGTACCCTGGTAGCAACCTTGTTGTACCCTGGTAGCAACCTTGTTGTACCCTGGTAGCAACCTTGTTGTACCCTGTGCTATAAGCGAGTTTCTGAACACCACCACAAGATGGCAGTATGTATCAAAACAACGCTCAGTCCACTCCACTCGCAGTGGAGGGAATTCTCGTGTTTTCCTTAAGTTTCGTACAGTTATTTTGCAAAATTTCTTGTTTCTAACCATGTGTCCTAAAAAAGCAAGTGCAAAGGACAGTGCTGAAAAGAAAAAATGGATTTCCATGGAATTAGAGCAGGAAATCATAGATAAACTAAATGGAGGGTTAAGGACAGTACCAGCGTACCACTTCTACGATATGTACAATACTAAAGCAGGAGGAGTCAGTGACAAATTGTAGCATTAAGAGTGTAGCATTAAGAGTGTAGCATTAAGAGTGTAGCATTAAGAGTGTAGCATTAAGAGTGTAGCATTAAGAGTGTAGCATTAAGAGTGTAGCATTAAAAGTGTAGCATTAACCCTTTCAGGGTCGACAGGCCCTCTCACAAGAGACTTGTTCTTAGGGTCGGCCAAATTTCAAAAAAAAAAAAAAATATTTTTCCTTATGAAAAGATAGAGAATCTTTTCCTGATCATAATGACACCAAAAGTATGAAATTTGTTGGAAAACTTACGGACTTATGCTCTCGCAAAGTTAGCAGTCTCGACGATGTTTACGCATCGGCGATTTTGCCCACTTTGAGCCCTATTTTTGGCCAATTCCAGTGTACGAGTCGACAAAAATCATAACTATTTCATTAGAACTCCATTTTTTCTATCGAATGAGTACAAGAAACCACCCATTTACCGATTTCAACTATCCAATACAGTGATCAGAATTTAGCAATTTTGCCAATTTCACAAAAATTTCAAAAGATGCCAATTTCCGAATAGGGTCCAGAATAAACAAGAAAGACATTCCTGGCACTAAAATAATATTTCCCCTGTTCATTAGTCACTTCCCTACGCCCCTCTTACATTCTTTTGCTTTCCACTTTGAATTTTTATTCTCACAAAAAAATAGAAGATTTACCGTTATGCAGACTACTGTATTAGTGTAGAAATGGTATAAATATTATCGGTGCACTTGTGAAAGAATATTAGACTCACCAGTTGACGTGTATTGGACGCATAGCATGATTTGTTTACTTTTGAACTTTGGTAAAAATCAAACATTTCTGCTACTTTGAGCTCAATTTCAAGGTACTTTTCATTGTAAAACCGGTCAAAATCATCTCAATTTCTGTAATATGTCTTCCATTCTATAAAATGAGACCAGGAAAACTAGAATACAACAATAAATACCATACAAAAATACAGCGCAAAGCCGCTGTTTTAATCCAAAACACGGTCAAATTTGTTTTTTCTCATTACGCACTGTGTGCTGCAGGATTTTTTTTATACCATGTACACTGACCACATAGACCCATTCTTTCATATGTAGGTCTACCAGCTTTCTCTCATTAGATTTGAGGGCGCTAGAATTTAGGCGTACTAGTACGTCAAAAACCCTGGTGCTTAAGCCGTACTAGTACGGCCGAAACCCTGAAAGGGTTAGAAGTGTAGCATTAAGAGTGTAAGCAATTGTAAGTCACTCTGACTTTTTTGGGCTATCCTAGGTTCTCTGCACATGTAGTCAGGAGCAGGAATGGCCACTGTGGTGGCCCTATAAACCCCAGCAACAATGGCTGTTGTTGCCACTACTAGCCACATACTTAATGACATGTATTTTATTCATTCTAGTGTATAAATCATGTTTATGTTATTAATATTGTTTATTATGTCATATTAGATGAATTATGATAGATAAATAAGCCATGGAGATGATAGTAGGAAAATTATTGAAGTATTTTATTGTGACTGGAATGCCACTGTAATGGATTAATTGCATTTCATTTAATTAATTTAAATGAGGAAAATTGACTCTGCAAATGAGCAAATCCAGATGCAAGCAAGGTCATGGAATGGATTAAACTTGTGAGTGGAGGTTCCATTGTAATAATGATAATAATAATAATAATAATAATAATAATAATAATAATAATAATAATAATAATAATAATAATAATAATAATAATAATAATAATAATAATAATAATAAAAGTGATTATTGTTAAAACCACTTTTGACCATATATATAAGCTATCAATTAATTATTGTCTTATTAGTCTTATCATTGTCTTAAGTTTGCCTGAAATGCTCTTGATACTAAGAGGCTTCCTGCATGCACACCTGTCATTCACCTCTGAACAAAAATTGTATCATGCTGAAATAAAGAATCTTTAATGACACAGCTGATATTGTGCTTGCTTCATAACCAGTAAACTTAAAACAATGCTTAAATAAAAATTACAATGAATATTTTTAATCTAACACACTTAACCCTTTGAGGGTTTTCGTCGTACTAGTACATCTTACGCGTAGGGGTTTTTGACGTACTAGTACTCATAAATTCTAGCGGCCTCAAATCTAGTGGGAGAAAGCTGGTAGGCCTTCATATGAAAGAATGGGTCTATGTGGTCAGTGTGCACAGTCTAAAAAAAATCCTGCAGCAAACAGTGCATAATGAGAAAAAAAAACCTTTGACCATTTTTTTTAATAAATCAGCGACTTTGCAGTGTATTTTCGTATGGTATTTATTGTTGTATTCTAGTTTTCTTGGTCTCATTTTATAGAATGGAAGACATATTACAGAAATTGAGATGATTTTGACTGGTTTTACAAAGAAAGGTGCCTTGAAATTGAGCTCAAAGTAGCAGAAATGTTCGATTTTTACCAAACTTCAAAAGTAAACAAATCGTGCCAAGCGTGCAATACACGTCAACTGGTGAGTCTAATATTCTTTCAAAAGTGCACCAATAATATTTATACCATTTTTTACACTAATGCAGTAGTCTGCGTAACAGTAAATCTTATATTTTTTGTGAAATAAAATTCAAAGTGGAAAGCAAAAGAATTATAAGAGGGGCCTTGAGACGTGTCTAATGACTAGAGGAAATGTCATTTTAGTGCCAGGAATGTCTTTCTTGTTTATTCTGGACCCTATTCGGAAATTGGCATCTTTTGAAATTTGTGTGAAATTGGCAAAATTGCTAAATTCTGACCACTGTACTGGATAGTTGAATTTCATAAATGAGTGGTTTCTTGCACCCATTCGATAGAAAAAATGGAGTTCTAGCGAAATATTCATGTTTTTTGTCGACTAGTACAGTGAAATTGGCCGAAAATGGGGCTCAAAGTGGGCAAAATCGCCGATGCGTAAACATCGCCGAGACCGCTAACTTTGCGAGAGCATAATTCCGTAAGTTTTCTATCAAATTTCAAACTTTTGGTGTCTTTATGATCGGGAAAAGACTATCTTTTCATAAGAGAAAATAATTTTTTTTTTTTTTAAATTTGGCCGACCCTGAGAACGAGTTTCGGAGAGGGCCTGTCGACCCTCAAAGGGTTAATAACATTCAGTGCACTATCATAAAACTACGAATAAAGAAAATATACCTAAGCCCTTGATATACTGTAACTTGTATTTTAACCCTTTCAGGGTTTCGGCCGTACTAGTACGGCTTACGCACCAGGGCTTTTGACATACTAGTACGCGTAAATTCTAGCGCCCTCAAAGCTAGCGAGAGAAAGCTGGAAGGCCTACATATGAAAGAATGGGTCTACATGGTCAGTGTACATGGTATAAAAAAAATCCTGCAGCACACAGTGCATAATGAGAAAAAAAAAACTTTGACCGTGTTTTTGGATTAAAACAGCGACTTTGCACTGCATTTTCGTATGGTATTTATTGTTGTATTCTAGTTTTCCTGGTCTCATTTTATAGAATGGAGGACATATTACAGAAATTGAGTTGATTTTGACTGGTTTTGCAAAGAAAATTACCTTGAAATTGCGCTCAAAGTAGCAGAAATGTTCAGTTTTTACCAAAGTTCAAAAGTAAATAAATCATACTATGCGTCCAATACACATCAACTGGTGAGTCTAATATTCTTTCACAAGTGCACCAATAATATTTATACCATTTCTACACTAATGCAGTAGTCTGCATAACAGTAAATCTTCTATTTTTTTGTGAGAATAAAAATTCAAAGTGGAAAGCAAAAGAATGTAAGAGGGGCCTTGAGACGTGACTAATGAACAGAGGAAATGTTATCTTATTGCCAGGAATTTCTTTCTTGTTTATTCTGGACCCTATTCGGAAATTGGCATCTTTTGAAATTTTTGTGAAATTGGCAAAATTGCTAAATTCTGACCACTGTATTGGATAGTTGAAATCGGTAAATGGGTGGTTTCTTGTACTCATTCGAAAGAAAAAATGGAGTTCTAGAGAAATAGTTATGAATTTTGTCGACTAGTATGCTGGAATTGGCCGAAAATTGGACTCAAAGTGGGGAAAATCGCCGATGCATAAACATCGTCGAGACAGCTAACTTCGCGAGAGCATATTTCCGTAAGTTTCCCATAAAATTTCATACTTTTGGTGTCATTATGATCGGGAAAAGATTCTCCATCTTTTCATAAGAATTTTTTTTTTTTTTTTTTTTTTTTTTTTTTGAAATTTGGCCGACCCTGAGAACAAGTCTCTGAGAGAGCCTGTTGATGCAGCCATAAATCCATAAATATCTAGTGATCAGTGAAGCCAAAACAGAGCATCACATCTCAATCATATTCTGAAACACAGTAAAATGTATAAAGTACTTACCAATCATAATTAAATGTTTGCAGTTAACCGAGAGCGATGTAATAACATGAGCCTCCAGCACTTCAGCAGCTTCTTCAATAATTACTGAAATGTTAAAAATACCTCTTATAATGAGTCTTTGTTCATGTATTGTTCACATTAATACTACAGTGTGGAAGACAATGCTACACTGTGGAAGACAATCCAACAGTGTGGAAGACAATGCTACACTGTGGAAGACAATGCAACAGTGTGGAAGACAATGCTACACTGTGGAAGACAATGCAACAGTGTGGAAGACAATGCAACCTGCTTTTTTAATTTGCATGGCATTTGGTGTGAAAATATTTTGTGTCTTCCATTTCATGCCAGATGCACCTATATTCTACCCAAACATTACTGCCCTTTTTCTCCTCCATACCAGTGAGGTTGTCAGGGGTGCGAGGTTGTCAGGGACGTGAGGCTGTCAGGGACATGAAGCTGTCAGGGATATGAGGCTGTCAGGGACATGAGGCTGTCAGGGACATGAGGCTGTCAGGGACATGAGGCTGTCAGGGATGTGAGGCTGTCAGGGACGTGAGGCTGTCAGGGATGTGAGGCTGTCAGGGACATGAGGGGTTGTCAGGGGGAGGGGCTGTCAGGGATGTGAGGCTGTCAGGGATGCGAGGCTGTCAGAGACGTGAGGGGTTGTCAGGGGGAGGGGCTGTCAGGGACATGAGGCTGTCAGGGACGTGAGGCTGTCAGGGATGTGAGGCTGTCAGGGACGTGAGGCTGCCAGGGACGTGAGGCTGTCAGGGGTGTGAAGTTGTCAGGGGTGTGAAGTTGTCAGGGGTGTGAAGTTGTCAGGGGTGTGAAGTTGTCAGGGGTGTGAAGTTGTCAGGGGTGTCAGGCTGTCAGTGTGTAAATGAGTGTTTGTGACTATTTTATTACTACAATGGACCCTCCCTTTTCGTCCATCTCCGTTATCGCCGATTTCCGTTTTCACTGATTTTTTCGTCAAAATATTGGGTCCTTTTTCGTCGATTTCCTCCATTTTCATTGATGGTATGGACCCTATCCAGTGCCCAGCAAGCACACAAAGGACCCTCCCACACGCATTCTGTGGCAGTGTCGCATTGTTTCTTGGTGAGTGAACATATCCTGCAAGGTCATGCAAAACATTCCGTAATAATCCACTGCTTTTGGCACACGTGTGACTGCTAAATAAGCCACCATGGCCCTAAAGAAAGCTCCTAGTGCCAGTCCTTTAGTAAAGAAAGTGAGGAACACAGTAGAAATGAAGAAAGAAATCTTTCAAAAATATGATAGTGGCATTTGCATTGCCAAACTCGGCAGGATGTACAGGAAGGCACCATCAACCATCAGCTCCAATGGAGTGAAGAGAAAAGAAATCATGGAAGCTGATGTTGCAAAAGGGGTGAATGCACTAACAAAACAGAGATCCCAAGCAAATGAAGATGTGGAGAAACTGTTGTTGGTGTGGACCAAAGAAAAACAGTTAGTGGGAGATAGTGTTGTGCAGTCCATTACTTGTGAAAAGGAAAGGCAATTGCATGACGATCTCATAAAGAAACTCCCTGGAACAAGTGCTGATGTTGGTGAATTTAAGGCCAGCAAAAGGCTGGTTCGAAAATTTCAAAAAGCGAAGTGGCATACACAGTGTTGTAAGGCATGGTGAGGGTGCCAGTTCAGACAAACATGCATCTGAAAAATTCGTGCGAGAATTCAAAGATGATGTAGAGGCTGAAAAATTCCAACTCCAACATGTGTTCAGTTGTGACGAAACAGGCCTATTTTGGAAGAAAATGCCAAAGAAGACCTATGTCACGCAGGAGGAAAAGGCACTCCCAGGACACAAACCTATGAAAGACAGGCTAACTCTCTTGTTGTGTGGTAATGCTAGTGGGGCTTTCAAAGTGAAGCCTTTACTGGTGTATCACTCTGAAAATCCCGGAGTGCTCAAGGAAAAACAGTGGCTTCTAGTGTAAACTGTGTGATGAGGAAGGCTAACAGTAGGGCATGGGTCACGAGTAAAATTTTCTTGGAATGGTTCAATGAAGTGTTTGGCCCCAGTGTGAAGAAATACCTCCTGGATAATAAATTGCCACTCCAGTGCCTCCTGTTAATGGACAATGCTCCTGCTCATCCTCCAGACTTGGAAGACCAGTTGTCTAAGGAATTCAGTTTTGCAACAGTGAAGTTCTTGCCTCCTAACACCACTCCTCTCATCCAGCTCATGGACCAGCAGATCATTGTAAACTTCAAAAAACTGTACACCAAAGCAATGTTTCAAAGGGGCTTTGACATAACCTCGGACTCTGAATTGACCCTAAGAGAGTTCTGGAGAGGTCGTTTCAATATCTTCCATTGCATAACTTTATAGACAAGGTTTGGCAGGGAGTGACTTCCAGGACAATGAACCCTGCTTGGAGAAAATTGTGGCCAGATTGTGTCCAAGAGAGGGATTTTGAAGGGCTTAGGGCTGACCCTGTCAACCCTCTGCCTGTTGTGGAAAGTATTGTGGCACTGGGGAATTCCATGGCATTAGATGTGAGTGGCCAGGATGTGGAAGAGTTGGAGGACCACAATCAAGAGCTAACCACTAATGAGCTGCAAGAGCTTCATCTGTAACAGCAACAGACCACAGCTCAGGAAATTGCTTCAGAGGAAGACGAAGAGAGATGGAAAAAAGTGCCTTCTTCAGAGATTAAGGAGATTTGTGCAAAGTGGTTAAGGGTGCACTCATTTGTGGAGGAACATCACCCTGAGAAAGCTGTTGCAATCTGTGCTGGCAACTTTTACAATGACAATGCCATGTCCCATATTAGGCAAATCTTAGAGATGCCAGAAACAGACATATCTGGACAGATATTTTGTGCGACAGAGGTCCGGTAACTCAAGCTGGTCCTAGTGGCATTAAAAAACAAAGACGGGAAGTGACCCCGGAAAAGGACTTGGAACCTAAAGTCCTTATGGAGTGGGATTCCCCTTCCAAACAATAATCTGTCTTCCCTCTCCCTCCTCTCTGTCTTCCTTTCACCAACAACAGCCTTCAATAAAGGTAAGTATCATGTTGAATGTTCATTCTTTTGCGCATGTAAATCTATCTTTAAGGTAAAAATTTATTTTTTTGTTAATACTTCTGGGTGTCTGGAATGGATTAATTGGATTTACATTATTTCTTATGAGGAAAAAATTGTTTCAGTTTTCACCGATTTCCATCTTTCCCAATCTCTATGGAACGGATTAAACACGAAAACCGAGGGTCCACTGTATTTCCATACATAATAATTGTGTAACAACAATTGGCTATGAAATCCCAAGATCTACTATAAACTTTAATTATCAGAACATAAAAATTATGTAAATTAAAAAAAAGAAAAGGGAAAAAAAAAGTATTATTATTATTATCACACTGGCCGATTCCCACCAAGGCAGGGTGGCCCGAAAAAGAAAAACTTTCACCATCATTCACTCCATCACTGTCTTGCCAGAAGGGTGCTTTACACTACACTTTTTAAACTGCAACATTAACACCCCTCCTTCAGAGTGCAGGCACTATACTTCCCATCTCCAGGACTCAAGTCCGGCCTGCCGGTTTCCCTGAACCCCTTCATAAATGTTACTTTGCTCACACTCCAACAGCACGTCAAGTATTAAAAACCATTTGTCTCCATTCACTCCTATCAAACACGCTCACGCATGCCTGCTGGAAGTCCAAGCCCCTCGCACACAAAACCTCCTTTACCCCCTCCCTCCAACCTTTCCTAGGCCGACCCCTACCCCGCCTTCCTTCCACTACAGACTGATACACTCTTGAAGTTATTCTGTTTCGCTCCATTCTCTCCACATGTCCGAACCACCTCAACAACCCTTCCTCAGCCCTCTGGACAAAAGTTTTGGTAATCCCGCACCGCCTCCTAACTTCCAAACTACGAATTCTCTGCATTATATTCACACCACACATTGCTCTCAGACATGACATCTCCACTGCCTCCAGCCTTCTCCTCGCTGCAACATTCATCACCCATGGTTCACACCCATATAAGAGCATTGGTAAAACCATACTCTCATACATTCCCCTCTTTGCCTCCAAGGACAAAGTTCTTTGTCTCCACAGACTCCTAAGTGCACCACTCACCCTTTTCCCCTCATCAATTCTACGATTCACCTCATCTTTCATAGACCCATCCGCTGACACGTCCACTCCCAAATATCTGAATACATTCACCTCCTCCATACTCTCTCCCTCCAATCTGATACCCAATCTTTCATCACCTAATCTTTTTGTTATCCTCATAACCTTACTCTTTCCTGTATTCACTTTCAATTTTCTTCTTTTGCACACCCTACCAAATTCATCCACCAATCTCTGCAACTTCTCTTCAGAATCTCCCAAGAGCAGTGTCAGCAAAGAGCAACTGTGACAACTCCCACTTTATGTGTGATTCTTTATCTTTTAACTCCACGCCTCTTGCCAAGACCCTCGCATTTACTTCTCTTACAACCCCATCCATAAATATATTAAACAACCACGGTGACATCACACATCCTTGTCTAAGGCCTACTTTTACTGGGAAATAATTTCCCTCTTTCCTACATACTCTAACTTGAGCCTCACTATCCTCGTAAAAACTCTTCACTGCTTTCAGTAACCTACCTCCTACACCATACACCTGCAACATCTGCCACATTACCCCCCTACCCACCCTGTCATACGCCTTTTCCAAATCCATAAATGCCACAAAGACCTCTTTAGCCTTATCTAAATACTGTTCACTTATGTGTTTCACTGTAAACACCTGGTCCACACACCCCCTACCTTTCCTAAAGCCTCCTTGTTCATCTGCTATCCTATTCTCCGTCTTACTCTTAATTCTTTCAATAATAACTCTACCATACACTTTGCCAGGTATACTCAACAGACTTATCCCCCTATAATTTTTGCACTCTCTTTTATCCCCTTTGCCTTTATACAAAGGAACTATGCATGCTCTCTGCCAATCCCTAGGTACCTTACCCTCTTCCATACATTTATTAAATAATTGCACCAACCACTCCAAAACTATATCCCCACCTGCTTTTAACATTTCTATCTTTATCCCATCAATCCCAGCTGCCATACCCCCTTTCATTTTACCTACTGCCTCATGAACTTCCCCCACACTCACAACTGGCTCTTCCTCACTCCTACAAGATGTTGTTCCTCCTTGCCCTATACACGAAATCACAGCTTCCCTATCTTCATCAACATTTAACAATTCCTCAAAATATTCCCTCCATCTTCCCAATACCTCTAACTCTCCATTTAATAACTCTCCTCTCCTATTTTTAACTGACAGATCCATTTGTTCTCTAGGCTTTCTTGTTAATCTCACTCCAAAACTTTTTCTTATTTTCAACAAAATTTGTTGATAACATCTCACCCACTCTCTCATTTGCTCTCTTTTTACATTGCTTCACCACTCTCTTAACCTTTCTCTTTTTCTCCATATACTCTTCCCTCCTTTCATCACTTCTACTTTGTAAAAACTTCTCATATGCTAACTTTTCTCCCTTACTACTCTCTTCACATCATCATTCCACCAATCGCTCCTCTTCCCTCCCGCACCCACTTTCCTGTAACCACAAACTTCTGCTGAACACTCTAACACTACATTTTTAAACCTACCCCATACCTCTTCGACCCCATTGCCTATGCTCTCATTAGCCCATCTATCCTCCAATAGCTGTTTATATCTTACCCTAACTGCCTCCTCTTTTAGTTTATAAACCTTCACCTCTCTCTTCCCTGATGCTTCTATTCTCCTTGTATCCCATCTACCTTTTACTCTCAGTGTAGCTACAACTAGAAAGTGATCTGATATATCTGTGGTCCCTCTATAAACATGTACATCCTGAAGTCTACTCAACAGTCTTTAATCTACCAATACATAATCCAACAAACTACTGTCATTTCGCCCTACATCATATCTTGTATACTTATTTATCCTCTTTTTCTTAAAATATGTATTACCTATAACTAAACCCCTTTCTATACAAAGTTCAATCAAAGGGCTCCCATTATCATTTACACCTGGCACCCCAAACTTACCTACCACACCCTCTCTAAAAGTTTCTCCTACTTCAGCATTCAGATCCCCTACCACAATTACTCTCTCACTTGGTTCAAAGGCTCCTATACATTCACTTATCTCCCAAAATCTCTCTCTCTCCTCTGCATTCCTCTCTTTTCCAGGTGCATACACGCTTATTATGACCCACTTCTCGCATCCAACCTTTACTTTAATCCACATAATTCTTGAATTTACACATTCATATTCTCTTTTCTCCTTCCATAACTGATCATTCAACATTACTGCTACCCCTTCCTTTGCTCTAACTCTCTCAGATACTCCAGATTTAATCCCATTTATTTCCCCCCACCGAAACTCCCCTACCCCCTTCAGCTTTGTTTCGCTTAGGGCCAGGACATCCAACTTCTTTTCATTCATAACATCAGCAATCATTTGTTTCTTGTCATCCGCACTACATCCACGCACATTTAAGCATCCCAGTTTTATAAAGTTTTTCTTCTTCTCTTTTTTAGTAAATGTCTACAGGAGAAGGGGTTACTAGCCCATTGCTCCCGGCATTTTAGTCGCCTCATACGACACGCATGGCTTACGGAGGAAAGATTCTTTTCCACTTCCCCATGGACAATAGAAGAAATAAAGAAGAACAAGAGCTATTTAGAAAAAGGAGAAAAACCTAGATGTATGTATATATATATATGCATGTGCGTGTCTGTGAAGTGTGACCAAAGTGTAAGTAGGAGTAGCAATATATCCCTGTTATCTAGCGTGTTTATGAGACAGAAAAAGAAACCAGCAATCCTACCATCATGCAAAACAGCTACAGGTTTCTGTTTCACAATCATCTAGCAGGACGGTAGTACTTCCCTGGGTGGTTGCTGTCTACCAACCTACTACCTACAAAAAAAAAAAAGTATCTGCAACATTTCTGAAAGAAGCAGGACTCCATGTTGCCGTCAGTTATACTACCCCACTACATGATGTTATCCACTACAATGTTAGCACCAGGTGCTTATTACCTGCTAGGTAAACTGGGGTAGGTTTAAGGTGACTTCCCTAGTATTTATTTACAATTTGAAATTCCTCTTTTATATAAAGACACACCTTTGGAAAGTACCCTGACTGAACGTGCTACACTAAACCAATTGTAACCTAGTGTCACTGCTTACAGGACTCAGGTTTAGAAACATACTCCTTTGCTGACCTCACATTGTTGCAGTCTCATAAAAGTGTACGTAAAATACATGGCTACACTTATTTACCCTTAATGAGGTACCTAATAATGATGACACCATAATGTTTCTCAAACATGGATACATAGCCACAATTCAGTGCATTGTTAACCCTTTCAGGGTATCGGCCTTACTAGTACGGCTTACATGCCAGTGTCCATGATGTACTAGTACGCATTAATTCTAGCGCCCTCAAATCTAGTAAGAGAAAGCTGGTAGGCCTACATATGAAAGAATAGGTCTATGTGGTCAGTGTGCACAGTATAAAAAATATCCTGCAGCACACAGTGCGTAATGAGAAAAAAAAACTTTGACCGTGTTTTTGGATTAAAACAGCAACTTTGCACTATTTTCGTATGGTATTTATTGTTGGAAGACATATTACAGAAATTGAGATGATTTTGACTGGTTTTACAATGAAAAGTACCTTGAATTTGAGCTCAAAGTAGCAGAAATGTTCAATTTTAACCAAAGTTCAAAAGTAAACAAATCATGCTAAGCGTCCAATACATGTCAGCTGGCGAGTCTAATATTCTTTCACACGTGCACCGATAATATTTATACCATTTCTACATAACAGAAAATCTTATTTTTTTTTTTTTGTGAGAATAAAAATTCAAAGTGGAAAGCAAAAGAAATGTAAGAGGGGCCTGGGGACATGACTAATGAACAGAGGAAATGTTATTTTAGTAACAGGAATGTCTTTCATGTTTATTCTGGACCCTATTTGGAAAATGGCATCTTTTGAAATTTGTGTGAAATTGGCAAAATTGCTAAATTCTGACCACTGTATTGGATAGTTGAAATCGGTAAATTGGTGGTTTCTTGTACTCATTCGATAGAAAAAATGGAGTTCTAGCGGAATAGTTATGATTTTTGTCAACTAGTACACTGGAAGTGCCCGAAAATAGGGTTCAAAGTGGGCAAAATCGCCGATATGTAAACATCGTCGAGACTGCTAACTTCACGATAGCATAATTCCGTAAGTTTTCCATCAAATTTCATACTTTGTGTCATTATGATCGGGAAAAGATTCTCTATCTTTCCATTAGAAAAAAATAATTTTTTTTTTTTTTATATTTGGGGGAAACTGAGAACAAGTCTCTGAGAGGGCCTGTGGACCCTGAAAGGGTTAACCTGCAATCTTGTAATACTATTACAGTTTATCATTGTTGGTTATTTATACAAAAATTCAGTGCTTATATCACTGTTCTGCATAATCTCATTTTGCATACTTTTTAAACCATTTACTATATTATCTTGTAGTAATTTTTAAGATTTGCATTGTAATACATTACATATACCCACAAAACCTGTGCATTGTAAAGATCCTTATGTAAATTTATTCTTTCAAAGACTTCTTGATGCTGGTGAGAAGCTCTTGATATATGGAACTAAATCTGTTCTCCCCTTCCCTGGATCAGACCTGAATGCCTCCCATTCCCAGTGTGCTGTGGAACCCCTATACACTTATCTCTTCCAACCAAAGAAGAAAAAGGAAAAGAGAAAGAAGCAGCAGTGGCTGCGGCGGCTGCTGCGGCTGCTGCGGCTGCTGTGGCTGCTGATAGTTCATAAACATGGCTAGATCATTATAGTCAAAGACTTGTTATTTTAAGAATAATAGTTTGGTTACCTACACTCCTTGCATAATAATTTAATTCATTCTTATTTGTATGTAAAGAGTGAACATAATTAACTTACCGACAGGTGGTGCAAGTTGTTGCATAACATTGTGGTACTGTGCTGCTCCAGTGGTGGTCATGCCCACTACAGAGGATTCCTTCATAACATGTAAATACTCTTGGTCCATGACTTTTTTCAGCACTTGAGATTTCAGTTTAAATTCATTTTCTGCCTGTGACAGTCTGCCTTTCAGTATTTGTACTAGAATGTTGAGCCACAGTCTGTAGAGCTGCCAGCGTGTGAGAGAGTCAAGTTCATACAGATTCACGTTCATATTCCCTATGGCAGCTATTTCTTTAGGTACATTTTCCACAGCTAATCCTCTTTGCAGTTTAAGTAAATTATTTTTCATAATGTAATAATTTACAACAGAAAAAATATCTTCTGGATTATCTGCTATTACCTTTTCAAGGACTTTAATTTTATTAGAAAGTTCTAGTTTGGTTAACTCATAGCTGAGGAAACTCTGACCTTGAATTTGACCTTCATGAATATCATTGTAGGTTTCAATTTTTCTGGATTGCTCTTCAAAATTATATAGTTCTTGAACATCCTTAAATATTTCTTTTTCCTCAGAAGCATGTTCAGAAACTTCTGTGACAGCATCAAAAAACTCTTCATCAGACTCAATGGATTTCTCATTCTCTTCATAATCTTGGTATATAAAAGAATAATCCTGTTCAGTCAAAAGCCATCCGCTAAGTCCATGGCAATAGTATTGCAACTGAATCTGTAGATGATGTGGAATAATTCCATATGCTATTAATTCTTGCAACTTCAAGATCCCCTTACGCTCAATGCATTCTTTAATGGATACCTTCAAAGAGCGTATCATATATTCAAGTTCATCCACTTCAAACTGCAAGTTGTTAAGTTTTTGTAAAAAAGGAATATTTCTTTGGTATTTTCGAAATCTAGCAAGTTTGTTTATTTGAAACTCTTGAATTTTTTCAATTATTACTTCTTGATCCTACCCTGACAATGTTACGTGTGAATGACAATACACCTTCTAGGAACTGATCCAGTGCATGGTTAGTGAAACAAACTACCAGTATTGGTCCTGGAGGATACAAATGATTATGAAGAAGTATCTGAGCTATTTTGAGGCCAATAAAAGTTTTCCCAGTACCTGGAGGACCTTGAATTATAACTAGCTCACGGGTGAGAGCATTTCTCAGTGCCTTGCGCTGTGAGTTATCCATGCCAAGTTCTGATTCACTGGGCCATAACTCTAAGTCTTGCATAACTTCTATTGCTTGAAGGTGAGACCACTTGTAATCAGGTGGCATCACATATGATTCCTTAGCAAATAAACTTGACCTGCCTCTGTACAACTTTGGAAATCTTTGAATTTCTATGTTCAAATTAGTTTTTCTCAGCATGGTATCAGAAGTGTTCATCAACTCATTATCTCTTAACACTCTTAAGTCATACTTGTCTTCATCTGTTAGATACTGTGGATGGTTAACATCAGATTGAACATACACAATGTAAGGTGCAAATGGCAATTCTTTTCCAGACATGTTTTTAAGTGCAGTGAGGACATGTTTGTAAGCAACAAAAAAAGCTCTAGACTCAAGTACAATATATTCTTGTGAATAATCAAGATTTACATTGGATTCAAATTTTACAGCAAGTATCCCTTGTGTCAGTTTATCAGGATTAACATCAAAAACTGTGGCTATGATCACTGATTCAAAGTTGTTACAACTAAAGCATAGTAAATTCCCAAACATAAAACGCTTGGAAGTAGCAACATTAAACATTCTGGGGAGTTCGAGTTGAACATAGTGAATTAACTCTCTTTTCAATATTTCTGGCTTCAGTATTTTTGCATTTCTATATACATATACATCCATGTTCCTTGATTGTGAATCAATCTTACACGCAGTGACACCGTCGCGAAGCGGTCTCATAAAGTCCTCCCTTAATAATTTGAACTGGACATCCAGGTAGTGTGCATTACTTTCATATTTTCCTTTTGTAATATTTCTCTGCAAGAAGGGATAATAATAACCACCCAAATCTTCATTTGTTGGATATACTGACATTAGGCAAAAATCTGTCAGTGAAATATGCTTGTCTACATTTGACAAATTGGGCTTTTCACATTTCACATTTTTAAAAGTGAGTAGAGCTTCTGAGACCATACACTGAAGATTTTCATATCTTTCTAAACAATTAGATCCTGGCTTTAATGCTATTATCACACTGATACAAGCATCAATCAAACTTGGAAACTTCTCTGTTGCTGAATAAATCATAGCATGACAATACACCTCAAGCACAAGCACTAAATTGTCAAAAAACTGTTCTGCTCTCTCTGGATATAATTTCTTTATAGTTATAGTAAATGCACAAAGCTTGTTGACAAATCTTATTTGAAAAATCTTATTAAGAAGTTCATAAAGCTTTTCCTTCAAAAACTGAGCATTAACTGCATGTGCCAAAACACTCATCAGAGTGAACATTACATCATTAGTGTTGCTTTGGACGAGGTCTTCCACCAGTGAGTAATGCTGCAACAGCTGTACAACAACTTCATCTGACTGCAGCTTTAAAAAGGAGATTAAATCGGATGGTAAAAGTTTATTTTCTTTATTTTTCTCCAGGCTTGCATCAGTTGGCAAACAGAGGCTTGGAAGAAATCTTTTTCTGAGTGCACCTCTTCCACACACCTGGTTTCTTATACCTGAAGGTGACTTCCCTCTGCCATTTACTTGGGACACAAATCTGCCTTTGCTTTGGGGATGCTTGGCATTACTAGGAGATTCTCTGAGGTTGTTTACATGCCCTCCCAGTCTTTTGGCTCTTCCTCGGCTGGGAAAGCCTTTCTTAGGAGGTCCTCGTTTTGATGAATCCATGGTTTTATCACCATACCTGAAAAAAAAAAAAAGTCAGATACTTCTTAAAGTGGATAAAAGTTTAACGAAACAGCATATACAGTAGAACCCCCATATCTAACGATTCTGTTTCTGCAGTTTCAGTTATCCATGGTTTACTGTGGCCTGAAAATAACCCTTAATTTTGCTTAATAATAGCACCCCAAAGCTCAAAAGTAGTGATGCTGGCAGTTCTTCGAAGCCTAAGAGAAGCTGTGAAGTGCTTCCCATCAGAGAAAAAGTGCTAATTCTTGATTCATGTGCACAATTTATCAATTAAACTTTATTACAGGGCATGAATGTAAATGAAAAATGTCTTGTATATAGGGTTGACTATTATCCTCAGTTCTAGGTATCCAAACAAGGTCTTGCAATGTACCCCACGGATGAGGGAGGGCTTCTGTACTATAAAAAGATATCCCAGTTGCATAAATAAATTACAAGAAACAATTTACAAAAACTGAGCAATTAAGGCTGAAACAGTGGTACTACAAGCAAACATCAAGCAGCAGCAACAAGCATCAAGCAGCAGCAGCAACAAGCATCAAGCAGCAGCAACAACAAGCATCAGCAGCAACAACAAGCATCAAGCAGCAGCAACAACAAGCATCAGCAGCAACAACAAGCATCAAGCAGCAGCAACAACAAGCATCAGCAGCAACAACAAGCATCAGCAGCAACAACAGCATCAGCAGCAAAAACAAAGCCTCAAACAGCAGCAGCCCAAAAAGCATAAGCATCAGCAACAACAAGCATCAGCAGCAACAACAAGCATCAAGCAGCAAGCAACAAGCATCAAGCAGCAGCAGCAACAAGCATCAAGCATCAGCAACAACAAGCATCAGCAGCAACAACAAGCATCAAGCAACAACAACAAGCATCAAAGCAGCAACAACAAGCATCAAGCAGCGCAGCAACAAGCATCAAGCATCAGCAACAACAAGCATCAAGCATCAGCAACAACAAGCATCAGCAGCAGCAACAAGCATCAAGCAGCAGCAACAACAAGCATCAAGCAGCAGCAACAACAAGCATCAAGCAGCAGCAACAACAAGCATCAAGCAGCAACAACAAGCATCAAGCAGCAACAACAAGCATCAAGCAGCAACAACAAACATCAAGAAGCAGCAACAACAAGCATCAAGCAGCAACAACAAGCAGCAACAACAACAAGCAGCAGCAATAACAACAAGCATCAAGCAGCAACAACAAGCATCAAGCAGCAACAACAAGCATCAAGCAGCAACAACAAGCATCAAACAGCAACAAGCATCAAACAGCAACAAGCATCAAGTAGCAGTAACAAGCATCAAGCAGCAACAACAAGCATCAAACAGCAACAAACATCAAGCAGCAGTAACAAGCATCAAGCAGCAGTAACAAGCATCAAACAGCAACAAGCATCAAACAGCAACAAGCAGCAACAAGCATCAAGCAGCAACAAGCAACAACAACAAGTATCAAGCAGCAACAACAAGCATCAAGCAGCAGCAACAAGCATCAAGCAGCAGTAACAAGCATCAAGCAGCAGTAACAAGCATCAAACAGCAACAAGCATCAAACACATGTGAAACATCTGGGTATCTTTATTGTAGACGTTTCGCCATCCAGTGGCTTTATCAATACAAATTCTAGGACATAACTTGAAGACAGTAGAACTATGTACAGAAGATGAGGTAATCAGTCCCTCAACCTAGGAGTAGGCGCGAAGAGCACCATAGTCGTGGAGATTCTGAAGCAGAAGAAAGGATCCTGGCGCTTTAAAAGTAAGGGTCAGGTGTAGCGGGAGAGGGCATATTCACTGGTAGGCGGGATTCCCCAGTGGAAGTAGGCCCTTTCCCCAAAGAGTGGGTTAATTGTAGTAGTAGTTGTCGTAGTCGTAAAGGTTACGTACATGTCCTCAGAATTAAGATTCCATGATGTTGATAAAGCCACTGGATGGCGAAACGTCTACAAAAAAGATCCCCAGATGTTGCACATGTGTCTTAATCTCATTTGTCGGTATTATAACCATTCGTACACAACTTGTCGACACTGCAAATCAGGGAATCTTAATTCTGAGGACATGTACGTAACCTTCACGACTAGGGACAACTTCTACTACAATTAACCCATCTCTTTGGGAAGGACCTACTTCCCACTGGGGAACCCCGCCCCCTACCAGTGAATATGCCCTCGTCTGCTACACCTGACGTTACTATATAAGCGCCAGGTTTCCTTTCTTCTGCTTCAGAATCTCCACGACTATGGTGCTCTTCACACCTACCCCTGGGTTGAGGGACTGATTACCTCATCTTCTGTACATAGTTCTACTGTCTTCAAGTTATGTCCTAGAATTTGTATTGATAAGCCACTGGATGGCGAAACGTCTACAATAAAGATACCCAGATGTTGCACATGTGTCTTAATCTCATCTTGTCGGTATTATATACCATTCGTACACAAGCATCAAACAGCATCAAGCAGCAACAACAAGCATCAAGCAGCAACAACAACAAGCATCAAGCAGCAGCAACAACAAGCATCAAGCAGCAGCAGCAACAAGCATCAAGCAGCAGCAACAACAAGCATCAAGCAGCAACAACAAGCATCAAGCAGCAACAACAACAAGCATCAAGCAGCAGCAACAACAACATCAAGCAGCAGCAACAACAACAAGCATCAAGCAGCAGCAACAACAAGCATCAAGCAGCAGCAACAAGCATCAAGCAGCAGCAACAACAAGCATCAAGCAGCAACAACAACAAGCATCAAGCAGCAACAAGCATCAAGCAGCAACAACGACAAGCATCAAGCAGCAACAACGACAAGCATCAAGCAGCAGCAACAACAAGCATCAAGCAGCAGCAACGACAAGCATCAAGCAGCAGCAACAACAAGCATCAAGCAGCAGCAACAACAAGCATCAAGCATCAACAACAACAAGCATAAAGCAGCAACAAAAAACAAGCATCAAGCAGCAACATCAACAAGCATCAAGCAGCAGAAAACAACAAGCATCAAGCAGCAGCAACAACAACAAGCATCAAGCAGCAGCAACAACAAGCATCAAGCAGCAGCAACAAAAAGCATCAAGCAGCAGCAACAACAAGCATCAAGCATCAACAACAACAAGCATCAAGCATCAACAACAACAAGCATCAAGCAGCAGCAACAACAAGCATCAAGCAGCAACAACAACAAGCATCAAGCAGCAACATCAACAAGCATCAAGCAGCAGCAACAACAAGCATCAAGCAGCAGCAACAACAACAAGCATCAAGCAGCAGCAACAACAAGCATCAAGCAGCAGCAACAACAAGCATCAAGCATCAACAACGACAAGCATCAAGCAGCAGCAACAACAAGCATCAAGCAGCAGCAACAACAAGCATCAAGCATCAACAACAACAAGCATCAAGCAGCAGCAACAACAAGCATCAAGCAGCAGCAACAACGACAAGCATCAAGCAGCAGCAACAACAAGCATCAAGCATCAAAAAAACACAAGCATCAAGCAGCAACAACAAGCATCAAGCAGCAGCAACAACAAGCATCAAGCAGCAGCAACAACAACAAGCATCAAGCAGCAGCAACAACAACAAGCATCAAGCAGCAGCAACAACAACAAGCATCAAGCAGCAGCAACAACAAGCATCAAGCAGCAGCAACAAGCATCAAGCAGCAGCAACAACAAGCATCAAGCAGCAGCAACAACAAGCATCAAGCAGCAACAACAACAAGCATCAAGCAGCAACAACAACAAGCATCAAGCAGCAAACAAAAAACAAGCATCAAGCAGCAACAACAACAAGCATCAAGCAGCAACAACAACAAGCATCAAGCAGCAACAAAAAAGCATCAAGCAGCAACAACAAGCATAAGCAGCAGAAACAACAAGCATCAAGCAGCAACAACAACAGCATCAAGCAGCAACAACAAACAAGCATCAAGCGCAACAACAACAAGCATCAAGCAGCAACAACAACAAGCATCAAGCAGCAGCAACAACAAGCATCAAGCAGCAACAACAACAAGCATCAAGCAGCAGCAACAACAAGCATCAAGCAGCAGCACCAACAAGCATCAAGCAGCAACAACAACAAGCATCAAGCAGCAACAACAACAAGCATCAAGCAGCAACAACAAGCATCAAGCAGCAACAACAACAAGCATCAAGCAGCAACAACAAGCATCAAGCAGCAAAAAACAACAAGCTTTCAAACCCAGCAACAACAACAAGCATCAAGCAGCAAAAACAAGCATCAAGCAGCAAAAAACAAGCATCAAGCAGCAGCAACAAGATCAAGCGCAGCAACAAAGCATCAAGCAGCAACAACAACAAGCATCAAGCAGCAACAACAAGCATCAAGCAGCAACAACAAGCATCAAGCAGCAACAACAAGCATCAAGCAGCAACAACAACAAGCATCAAGCAGCAACAACAACAAGCTTTCAAGCAGCAGCAACAACAAGCATCAAGCAGCATCAACAACAAGCATCAAGCAGCAGCAACAACAAGCATCAAGCAGCAGCAACAACAAGCATCAAGCAGCAGCAGCAACAAGCATCAAGCAGCAGCAACAACAAGCATCAAGCATCAACAACAACAAGCATCAAGCAGCAACAACAACAAGCATCAAGCAGCAGCAACAACAAGCATCAAGCAGCAACAACAACAAGCATCAAGCAGCATCAACAAGCATCAAGCAGCATCAACAAGCATCAAGCAGCAACAACAACAAGCATCAAGCAGCAACAACAACAAGCATCAAGCAGCAACAACAACAAGCTTTCAACCCAGAAAACAACAACAAGCATAAAGCAGCAACAACAACAAGTATCAAGCAGCAACAACAAGCATAAAGCAGCAAAAAACAACAATCATCAAGCAGCAACAACAAGCATCAAGCAGCATCAACAAGCATCAAGCAGCAACAACAAGAACAAGCAGCAACAACAAGCATCAAGCAGCAAAAACAAGCAACAAGCGCAACAAGCATCATCAACAAGCATCAA